CGTTTTAATTTCTCCTTTTAATTTAAAATGTTAAATTAACGTGCCTGAATTAAACTGGATTAGGATATACATTGCTAACCCTTTAATATAAATTTAAAAGAAGAGCATCACATTAAAAAAAATATATATTAAAGGGACACCGTACGCACCATAAGTGCTTCATCTCATTGAAGTATCTACAGTGTCTGAAATCCAATTCTTCCTTTTAGTGTTAAACCATTTTTAATGTTTAAATGCTATACAAGAGTTCCCAGCAGACCATCCACTCTGTGTTGCTCCCGCTAATGAGAAAACATTAGCCTGAGCAGCGATTGGTAGCTGTAATTGAGTGTCAGCTGACCGCATTCAGCCTATCACATTGCCCATTCAGTTGTGAATAGGTGAGGCTAGAAGGAAGTGTGTAGCCTCTGCCTTAGCCATATCTTCTGTGGCAAGCCATATGAGCTGTGGAAAGCTAGGGAGCCTCATTCAGTGTTAAACTACTTGTATATGGTTTAACAATGAATTGAGGAACAGTGCCAGGGGACTCCAGTCACTATAATCAATTCAATAAGATTACATTGTTACGGTGCCTACAATGTGTCCCTTTAACATGAGTTATATGTGATTTGCACTGTTTTACGCATTGGTGTACATTCCCATGGATGTAATTGCCCATCAAATTTGCAGTGGTTTGATACATCTCTGCATACTTTTGCAAATAAGACAGAACACTGGGAGCATTTATTTTCATTTTCATTTTTCTACAGACATCTCTAGAGATAATAGTCAGTTAAAAGTGATTAACAGTGAGATCACGACTATCACATAGAACTTATTACACAATACATTTTTAAGAAAGAAAAGAAAGCCCAAGTCTATATCACATTTGTCCATAATAATGCTCAAAAGCTATTGTAATTGATGCCTATCAGCATCCTTCACAGTGTGATGTTGCAGTAAAGAAGAAAATGGAAGAAGAATTAACTTGTCATGGTGAAACGTCATGCATAAAAGTGTTGTGATAATTTTGGAAGAACACTCCAAGCACCATAACGCACAGAGAACTGGAAGTTTGCGCTGAGTTTAGACATAGAGCTTCCAGCTCTCTTTTAGAAATAGCGGAGTCAGAGAGCACTACCTCATGGAACCAAGGTAATAGTAAAAAAAATTGTAAAAAGGTCTGATTGCGTACCAGGTGGTGGGTGCCAGGTCAAACATTAGTATCATTACCATTACAGTGCGCTGTAGTGCTGATGGTGCTTGCGTTGTTCCTGTAACACCATTCAAGTGGTGATGACAAGAATAAGAAAACTACAACTATAGTTACAAGCAAATATCATTTGATCAACTAATAGATGCTTAGAAGGGCTACAACTTCATTGAGAGGCAACAAAAGTTAATTTGTGTTTTTCCAAAGTCAGAACACATGGGTGATACCGTGACATACGTAACATAGCAGGCAGATGGGATGTAGTCCACATCAATTGAAAATCTCTTAAATATCTCCCACATTAAAGCCCAGACAACCCTGTTAAAGGTCTCTTCCGTGATCATTAATAGTAACAAGAGGGAAAAGGCAATTTTGTAGCCCATGAAATGTAAACATGTAGCCAGAAGTCTCCATTTGGATGTTGAGTCATAGGTGAGGGATAACTAAAGAGTTGAGACTTCAGGCGATGTTATACAATAATCGTTGTCAGGAAATGTGTCTGTAGGTGGGACAATCAAATGGGCCTTAATCTCCTTTGGTGGTTTACTGGTAAAAATGCTGCAAGACTTTCCTTAAGAAGTCTGTTTGTTAAATAAAAACTGTATTTTTGGAGGCCAGATGGGGCAGGTTTATGTTTCTTATAGTAGGTTGGTGAATAACTTTATAACACTATAAACTGTGGAAGTCTAGAGTGGAGTGTATACATTTTGTTATCTTCATTGTTACTAGCGGGACAATTTATAGTACAGGCTTGTGTAGGGGATAGAGAGCAATGTTAATTTTGGCAGCAAATTTCAATTTAGTTTTAGTCATAGTTTTTTGACTAAAAAGCCATTTTAGTTGAAATCTTATTTTAGTCATCTGAATTGTTTTAGTTTAAGTCTAGTTTTAGTCAAATAAATCTCCAGGAGATTTTAGTCGACTAAATCTATTGAAGATTTTAGTTGACACAACTAAAATCTAATGGGTTTAGTTAAAGCCTCTATCTGTCTCTTTTGTCCCTCCCCTAGCCTCTCTGTGTCTCTTTGTGTCCCCCCAGACCCTCTAGGTGACTCTCTCCCACAGCCCCTCTGTGCAGTGTTAATTTTGGCGGCAAAATTTCCATTTTGTCATAGTCTTTTGACTAAAATGCCATTTTAGTTTTAATAGTATTTTTCGTCATCTGAATTGTTTTAGTTTTAATCTAGTTTTCGTCGACTAAATCTCAGAAAGTTTAGTCGACAAAAATTTGACAAAACTTGTTAGTCAACAAAATTAACACTGATAGAGAGAATATCTCGGTGTAAATTGTGGAAGGACTCTCTTTTTTTTTGAGGTTTTTGGCTGATAAGTTTTGTAGTAAAATATGTTATATTTTAATTTAGTCTCCGTTTCCACTGGATAATGCATGACAGTAAAGCGGGCATGCTACAGTGATATTTTCTGCATGGTCCATTTAGCTTAGCTAGTACGCCATTTGTTACTTCCCTGGAAGAATTTTGGATTGAACAAGTGAAGTAATTTTAAGACATTCATTTTGAGTTGAATGCTAAGTCCCTCTCAGTATCTAAGATCGATGGGAGAGTTTCACTTTTTTTTTTGTTAAATTTATCAATTGTCTTCAAATTTTTACTTTTCATTTTTACAAATTTTATTACATTTAATGAAGTTTAATGAATTTTTTTTAGTGATGTGCATTGATTTCACCATTTTATCTGTCTGAGCAGCCATGTTCGGTCAGACTATACAAAAATCTGACCAACTGCTGCTTAAACTAACTTACATGCTGCTAAAATTTCACATAAAAAAATTCACTTTGTAAATTCACTTAAATATCAGTTTAATTCATTCATTTTCATAAACCTTTAAAAAACGAGAAGTGAAAATTTGATTAAAGTTGTCCTTTAATTCGAGCTGAGTGTTTTGGAGTTGAGGTCATGTACTGTATACATTTTCACGTTATTCTTGTGGACACTTCCTGTCTACAGAGCTTCTTGTTGCCTTGACAGATAATTTGTTTTAAAACATTAAGATATATATGAAGTAAACAGTCTGAAAAGATTAGCTTTTGTTTGCAATGTGTTTATGGGCTTTAGAATTTGTGATGGTGGTAGCAGTAAGTTGCAAAGTCACACTTAGGTGACTTATGGCGTTATACCGAAAATAGTGAAGAATTGATAAGGCTGTTGTTGAAGTTAGATCAAAATAGCTGAGGAAGAAAACCAACTTATATGAGAATTTTTACAATTAGCCTGACATTTTTATTTCCTGGTGCATCTTTGGATTTTGGGCTCTGGGAAGAAACAACCACCCCCATAAATCAAGATCACCCCCTTCCGCCCCACCCCCCATCGCTCCTGCAGTCTCGCCTGGCGCCCGTGTGACCCAGCCTGGGACCATCTGGGAACTTAGGCTGCAAACTCTGCATACCTGATTCTAGACCCATGGGGGCGGGTAACTAGGGAAGTGTAGGAGAGAGGAGCCCACCCCCCTCCGACGGGATAAATTATTTTCTCCAGCTCAACATGACAGATGAAGGTCATACTGGAAATGAAAGGCTTCAAGACACAGGTGGGAGACTGCGACCACACCGGAACGCACACCTCTTCGGAGATATATGCCAACACTAGGTACGTGGAGAACTGACAGACTGAATACATACCATATGACTCATGCAACTTGAAAAACAGAGACAAGCTCAGACACTCATAAATCTGACCCTCCTCCCCAAGACTAATGAGACTCACTAATGAGACAACTATACGTGGCAACAAAACAAAATGAGGGAAAAATTCTATATGTGCAACCTAGGTGGGACTCTATATAACACTGAGGGAAACCCATAACATCACCACTACCCCACAGCCACTCCAAGCTAGGAGATAACAGGCGGGAACCCCTCAGACGAAATGTGAGACAACACAAACAATCAAAGAACATAGAAGCAAACTCAAGGTTCTCAAACACCCCCAGCTGCAAATGCCGCCACTACGGACAGACCTGTCTGATGAGCATAACCCAACCTCATTGAAACATCATATAACATCACCAGGAGATAGCGGATTGAGGTGCCAAGGACATTAGCTAAGTACAAAGTCACACTACCACTAGGGAAACGCCCTCAACCCGAGTATGCACAAAAGGGATTGTAAAGTCCTCTTAATACTACGTGAATATGGCAGATGTACCTAAACTGATGTGAATCATGCAACTGCTCAGAAGACAACTGATTCTTGTATTACTCCCTCCCCCCTTCTTTTTTCTGTACCCTAAATTTTTCTAACAAAACAATAAAAACAACGTATTTAAAAAAAAGAAAATAATTTGTAATAGGATCTAAAGGAATGTTGGGGGAAGGGTGTAGGGTGGGGAAAATTGGGAGTTTGATAAGGTTTAAAGAATTTAGTTTTTTCCCTCTTGTTTCCTCATAAATATAATAATACAGCCATTTCCCTCTTTAACCTAACTCTTCAACCCCCGTCACAGTTACCAAATGGGGAATACATGAACCACTACCTAAATGAAAGGAAGGGTGGGTGGGACAAGATTAGGTCAGCAGAATCTGATTAAAATGAGGTATTTTTTTAAATGGCTGCCCTATTTATATACAGCCAGCCCCCTCACTGCCATTAGCCAATCCCCTACCACTTCCTGTAATGCTCACATCCTCACCCAGTCAAGGCCCACTTCACTAAGCTGTGCTTGCTACTTGGGCTTCATTCCTAGGAGAGAGTACATCCACAGAAACATCTGTCATTTTTCTTTCATATAGAATATTTTTCTTTTACGTTCTTAAATATATTTTGAATTGGAAGGTATACAAAGAAACACAAATTCGGGGGGCGGAGCCTGACTAACAAGCGGACTAGACGTGCATGTCGAGAACTCCTGAGTCCGGAGCCAAGATTCTGGGTCTAACGCCCGACCACCCGATCACATCGACTGCTAAACGCAATAATCGTGACAAGGAGACTGCACTGCAACCGGAGATACCCGACACTTGGCTCTCCGGTGCTGGGCGGACCAAATCGTGACCTGCGGCCTGTGCGGGTGGGAGCCAAGGAGAGACGGCTGCTCTCCCGGTTCTCTGGCTGACAAGGGAGCACTCCCAAATCACCTCCCTCCCCCCACCCGGACCGGTGGGGGTTATCCCGGTCCTCGAGGACCCAAGCTGCCTCAGTCGCGGACGAGGTCTGATACTGCCACAACCTGTCTCAGCAGGCCCTGAGACCAATGTAATGGACACTCTGGGAGCCATAATCGACAAGTTTTGGGCCATGCTGCTCAACCGTGCAAGGCAAACAACAACCACACGGGAGCCCAATAAGGAAGACCGTGTAAGCAATAAGGAGCGGCCTGGGAGGCCTCTTATGGGCCGACAGCTACCCCACACTAATCCGACTACACTAAAGCGACGGAAGCCGCAGAAACAACACTACCGGCTGAGACGCCCTGCCCACCGCTGCCGTGAATACCACCACTTGTCCTGGGCTACATGGAGAAACCACCACGGCCACCTCTGAGCCGCTCCCCAGGCCGTCCAGGGAAAGGCATCTCCCCACCAAACGAGAGAGCCGCTGCCTGGCGTGTCACCACCATGCTGGACAGTCTGGTAAACCCTGTGGGCATAGGCTGAAAGGGATCAACCCGAGTGACATGTGGAGCTGGGGCCACCCCTATACAATTAACCTCTTCACAGGACATTGTAACAGTCAGCAGAATAAGGCTTCGATATCCACACTCAGCGTGTACATAGTTCATACTGTTGTTTAATTTTATATGTACCAGCTTAGCCATGTTATATGATTTCTTAAGCACTTTCCTTTTCTTGCATTGCTTCAACTTGCATAAGTGCCCATAACCTCTCTCAGCAGGATTAACCTGCGATTAGCAGCCTGCCATTGAATACCCCACTCTGTGTCTGCTTAGGTTTGGGTAATGTAATCTACATCAAAGTAAATAGTGCAGTAACTCAGACAAGGCCCAGAGGAGGCGGGCTGAAAGCTAGCCAGATAGGAGGCATGTGTGGGTGTGGTGGGTGTGGTGGAAGTATGGGGGTGTGATCTAGCTAAGGAGTAGGGTGGGGTCATATAAATAGGTGACATTTTGTCTGTTACCTCAGCCATCTTAAATTTAACGGCAAGGTAACTAGTCCCCTCCCTCCCTCCCCTTTTTCGTTTTGCGTTGATTGTCTGTTTGTCATTAACGATTTTTTCTTGTCACAGCCGGCGGGTATGGTCCTTGCCGAACCTATTGGGAAGAGGAGTACAGAAAAAGAAAGATGCTGGGTTGGGTCCCTCCCCTGACCTCGAAAATGTTTTGGGTATTTGGGCGTGCCCTCCGTGCCAGGAAAGGTGGCCAGGGGTTGGCATGTGGAGTTTGAAGGCCAAGGTGAAGGCCAGGTATCTTGGACGAGGGGGGAGGGCCGATGCCTTGGTGGGGGGGTGTACCCTAGAGGTTTGGTGGTACGGTTGGCAAGGACTAGTTTGAATCTAAGCATACTTACACCTGAAGTTATTTATGGTTGGTTTATTTACATTTGTTCGTTAATTTATAAATAAAGCTGTGGCCTTTTTTATACCACATATACGTTTCCTAGTTTGATTGGGGGGAATTGAACGGATTTTGGGGATTGTTATGGTTCACAACACACGATAACCGCTACCTACACACATGTGATGTACTCTATTAGCTAATATCTTGCAATGTATAAGATTGTGTTTCATAAGCCTAGCAGGAATAGCACCCTAAGTCTGAACACAAATGTATGAGCCCAGCCCTCAGAAATGCTGGACTCACTATCTCAGCCACCACCACGCCACTAGTTTACCCAGAATAAATAGCCGGCCGAAAAAGGGCATTAGCCGAGCGGGCCCACACAAGCCCTCTATTGTACAGCATGACATAAAGGCGATGCAGGATTGTTTTGATGCTCCCAAACCTGAGGCAGAGCTAGGTAGCCTAGCCACACGGATGTCTTTGGACGCCATTTAATATATAGCTAACTGTGGCCGTAAACGCGGCAGATACTGGGTCCTCAACCATGCAAAAGCGCAGTCATACCGAATATTAATTTTATACTACTGTTGTTATACAAAAATGTGCTGATTATTTTACTGCTCCTACTGTTATGCTTGAAAATATGCTCAAGGAATGCTGTTGGGGCGCCACGAGCTTGCATGTATTTCTCTCAACGCACAATAAAAATAAAGAATAAAAAAAAAAAAAAAAGAAACACAAATTCTGCATCGGTGATACGTTTACAAAATGACATTGCATTTCTAATTATTATACCTGTATTGTATTACTATATTATTACATGCTATATAATCTGTGCTGAAAGATTGCCGACAGTCATCCAGAGAGTATTGTTTTTAAAAATCCAATTAGACTGATCATTGTTGAGTAATATGTGGACTACATTCAGCCTGTTATTTAAGATCAGAGCTACAAACAAACATAATTAAAGGTTCAGGTGCACTCCCTATATTGTTCAGGAAATGGTATGATGGTAATGGGGAAGACGTCAATTTGAATCTGCCCTCCTAAGGCTTAGCCCTGATTGAACTCTAATGACACTAGATACCCAATTTTGCATTTTATTTTGCTTTAGGCAGAATATATCTATTTTTGTTACTCAATTAAATATTCCACGTACTATGGAGAACACAAAATACTAGAACGGTCAAACACTCTCCTGGCATGGAAGGTAATTTGGACGCGATTCCTTACTCGTGCAAGATTTCTCAATCTGGCTTGGCAATGAAAGAAGAAAACTCTTTATTGTTATTGCCATGAATCCCGTACGAGTATCAAGGAAATTCTCATTGTCTTTGTTAACATGAGCAAGGAGTACGTGTTTAAAAATAAATGTTTATTCCTGTTTGGTATCTTGCGTTGTAAGAGCCAAGGTTCTGTCTTTAAAATTGAACACGCAAATGTTTCCATAACAAAGCCAGCTTCGGGTTAGTTATAAAATAAAATCTGTAAATTGTGTGGGCAAAATGGCCCACAAACGATTATAGGATTAGAAAATTTGCTAAATTTAAGTCAAACAAATAAAACACGAGATGGAAACATTCTCTAGTTTAGCTGTGTGACTTATTTAGCTTAAGTTTAGTAAATGTGTTGTTAATTTTTTTATATACATCCATAAATGTTGCATTGCCTGATGTATGAATACAGGTTTATACTGTAACCCTATAGAACAAGCGCAGCTTAGTGGAAATGGGCCTTGACTACGAGGTAAGCATATTAGGAAGGTCCCTAGGGATTGGGAGTTGGATATGTAAAGGGCTGTCCTAGTATATATAGGCATCAATTTTAGGAAAGTGCACTTTTAGTCTGCTTACCTGACCTAATTTGTCCATCCTTGCCTCCCTTTTAAATGATTTTCTGCAGGTGCTTAGTTCACAGTGGCGGGCTAGAGAGCAGAAAGTTAGGGGACAAAAAGGCTCTGCTTTAGTTCAAATAGAGTAGGGACGTTATGCTGTTGGTTAAGAAGTTGGTTAAACCGGTTCATTATGAACTTTGGTAGGTTTCGAGCTCGATGGTGGCTCAAAACCTGCTGGGTGGTAGGGATATCTGGGTATACTTCTACCCTGGTTAGTTAAAAGTCATGGCACTTTAATTATGTTTATGATGTTTATTATTATTGTTATTTATATTTACTGTTTCAAATATGGCTCATTGCCTTTTTGATACGGGATATGGTGTTACATGGCAGGGTTAGGGGGTGCAAAGACTTTACTTATATTATATTTATTATTATTAATAAAAGCTGTGGACATATGTGACACATAGATTTGTGTCAGTGTATTATTGGGTTAGGTATTATGGGGGTAATTCCACCTGCCAATATGGTGACTATACACCTGTCATGTTCACCTGGCATTATGGGAGAACAGAAATTCAGGCAATGGAAACAGTTATATTAACAGGGTTATTTTTGACAATTTCTTTCTCTCACATTTGCCTTGAAACCTTTGGTGATTTTAAGTGATGTCTATGACTGTTAATTGGACTGATTACCCAAACCCTTGGCTCCAGCCCCGAAGACACTGCTGAAAGCCTTTAAAGATTTGATCTCACTTTCTCCATTATTATACTTCAAGGTTGTTATGTCCTATAGATTGTGACTACACCTTTTACCCTAGCTAATATCAATCATACTCCTGCTTAGATTGCATTTTTATCTTCCAAAATTTGACAAACTCACCGCTTTCTTTAAATTTATATGAATAATCTTGGTCGGACCATGTGGCTGTAAAGTGCACCATTTTTTTTTTTTTGTAAATATGTTTTTATTTCAGTTTATATTGTCAAGAATAAGTCACATTGAGACTCGCAGGTCTCCGTAAGCATTTAGGGCACAGTAACCAAGGTACAACATGTGCATAACTTTTTTACTTCGGGCAACCGGGGGCGCAGGCCCACAATTTCGCTGGACTCACAGGTCCCTTTCAGCATGCAGTTCTTGTCCCTAATCTAATGTAACGTTTGCATTCGGTCGCTTCGTTTGTTAGGTAACATTAGGTAAGCTTCAGTTTGGACTCGCAGGTCCACTTAGGGTGGAACAGAAGCAGCCTATGAAAAGGAAAGACGGTCTGCGGAACCAGCATTGGTGTCGTGTGGGTCACTATGTAGCGGGTGTTATAGTCGGGTGTCGGGCCCGTGTGTCTCGTTGCAGTAAGGCGGTCAGGTATTACCTCCAGTAAACTCCAAGTGTCAGGGTGGGTCCGCTGGCCCTTTTGAGTCTCACGTTAAGTCCCGCGGCCTGATCTGGAGTGCGTGCATGTGGGTGTCTTATGTTCTATTGTCCCCTCGTGGAGGGGTGAGTGTCTTCCCGAAGGCCTTATAAGTCTTCTCTTATGTTGTCCTTGGCGTGTGCCAAGTACTTGTCTGTTCGCATGCAGTATTTGGGGTTGGGGGATGTCCGGGTAGTGGTGTCTAGGGAGGTAGGGGGGTCGGGGTGCGTCCGCGTCTGGGTCGCGTCTGTCTAGGTCGTCTCTGTATTTGTCGGTCTATGCGGCTTTGTCACTATGTCCTTATGTGTCATATTGGAGCCTGGTTGTGAATTCTGCCTTGGTGGTAGTCAGTATCCAGTGGGTCCATATGTCCGTGTACCTATTCGAGGAGTTGGATGCGGTCATAATGAGTTCCTCTATGGCTCTGAGTTCCTCCATTTGGGAGAACCAGGATGTCAACGGGGGTGTCGTTTGTTGCTTCCAGAATTGAGGGATCAATTGTTTGGCAACGTTTAGGATTCTAATGGTTAGTGAGTGCTTGTATCTCGTTCTAGGTGACCTTGTATGGTGAAGGAGCATATGTTCTGGGAGGAAGGGGGGTGGCGTGTCTGAGAAGGTTTTGAGGAAGCCGTGTATACCCCGCCAGAAGGGCTTTATGGCTTCGCAGGTCCACCACAGGTGGAGTACTGTGCCGGCCTCTCTATTACACCGCCAGCAGAGATCCGTGTGTTCCGGGTCCATGGCATGGAGTGCGATCGGGGTGCAGTACCAGTTCGTTAACAGTTTAAACGCCGTTTCTTGTGTTTTGCTGAAGACTGAGCAGTGATGCGTTAAATAGCATATCTTTTCCCAGTCCCCGTCTGTGAAGGTTTTCCCCAATGTTTGTTCCCATCTCCCCATGAATTTGGGTTTCTTCGTTGGTGTTTCCCTCTGTAGCATGGAGTAAATGAGTGAGATCCCGTG